CCCAAGAGAATCAGGTAAAAAGTTTTTGTAAGGCAGTAATTAGGATTATTAGCTGCAAAGAGAGAGAGAGAGCTGTTCAGGGTTTCTTCAGTTTGATCCCTTTTTGTTGCTTCTATGTGTTTAGGAGTTACTACAGACCACTTAGAAATACATGATAATCAAGTATTATTGGACAAAACTTTGATTAATTGAATAAATCACGCTGATGTTTATGCAGGTTTTTAATTAAATGTTTTTGTTACAGGTGAACTGAGATCTATTCAGATTCTGAGGAAAAGCCACAGATCCAGAAAATCTCCCCCATGACCAGCAGCCACAGCCTCCCACCTGTCCTCCACCTTCACTCCCACCTGTCCTCCACCTTCACTCCCACCTGTCCTCCACCTTCACTCCCACCTGTCCTCCACCTTCACCATCTCATCCACCAGCTGCTCTGTGTTCACCTGTAGCTGTTTAGTCCAGCCAGTAACTCCACTAACCGACTCCCTTCAACTGGAAATTCCTCTATCAGGTAAATTTAACCAACATGTAAAAACAGTGACTACACTTTGTGTATTTATCATGTTTTTAATTAAATAGATGTGAGGCATTTTTGGATTTGATTAGTTGACGACATGAATAAGAGTTAAATGCAAATAAAGGTTTGTGTGGTGGGAGTTTTGTCTGTTTTAGTTTTCCTGCGTTAATCCAGGTGAGCTGCAGCAGAGACTCATCTAAAGCAGGACAGAGTCCTGACCTGCAGGGCTGAACACCCCCAGTCTACATTGTAATAAATTATTATTTTACATTACAGCTTTTTTATTATTATTCTTTGCAGACTGAAGCATTCTGTGTAACGTCTTCAAAGCCTTAAGGAGCTGAAGAAGTTTGCCTGGGAAACCCCGGGATGCTGCGAGCCGTTCTGACCCGTCTGACAGTCACTGGTTCTGCTGAAGAGATGGACTCACTGGATGAGCTCGGCCTTCCAGCCTCCACTGCAGAGAAATTAGAAGTCCTGAACCAAAAACTGGAATCAGGAGCTGTTCAGAAATAAATGGTATGTATAATTTTTTGAAAACATAGTTAGCCTTTCTCTTCACATTATTCTTTCCTTCCATCAGGTGCAGTACTGTTTAAATATTAACTTTTAAATTCTCTGTTACTTTTTTAGCTGGATCTCAGAGGGACCTGATCTGCTGTCTCCAACATTTTATCCAAGATCCTTTCAAACCACCAAGGAGAGCAGCAGAGATCTATTCAGACTGGGTGGAGAGAGAAGTCTTTCTGGTCACCAGCTCTTGATGACTGAAATATTTAGTAAGTATAATCTCATCCATCCATCCAACCATTTTCTATACACCCTTGTCCCTACTGGGGTCGGGAGGGTTGCTGGTGCCTCTCCAGCTAACGTTCTGGGCGAGAGGCAGGGTCACTCTGGACAGGTCGCCAGTCTGTTGCAGAATCTCATGTGCCTTTCAGTCTAAAATTGTGTGAATTGTTGTATATTATCCTATAGCTGGACTTATTATGCATATTTCTCGGTAGCCAATGAAACGTTTTGTTTCATAAAACCATGAATACACGTCTCAGTTTAAAATATATAAATTTTGTCTGTTTTTCAGAGGCTGTACCAAAGAACCAAGCGACGGATTCAGAACACCAAAAGTTTTAAGGCTCAAGGTTGTCTGGTTTGTTTTTTTGTTGTTGTTTTTTTTTTGCTATTATTATTTTGTGCATGTGTCAACGCTCAGAAAATAAGTTCTGGTGTAAATATTTCTTTTAAAATTATATTTTTAAGCACCGGGTTACTTTGCTGACTTTGCTTTGATTTTTTATTATTGTGAATGTATTTTCTAAAAACCCATTGTATTAAAATGTATACTGTGCTGTTTTACTGTGTTCTAAGAAGATTTCATGTCTTTTTGGTACATATGTATAAATAAATGTGATTATCATATTTTGCTGTGGGTAGTCTTTAATGTTAATACTATAAAATTAATACCTTCTTTGCCAAGTGTTTTTAAGTGGTTGTCATCGATTTTACAATTTATTACATTAGATTAATGTCTTGGAAACAGAAGACAACCGTTCCATGTGAAAACAGTAGGTGTGGGGCCAGCTTTCCTTTTCTACAATTTGTTAAAACATTGGATTAATATCGCATGGTAATGGAAGACAACTGTTCCTCATGAAAACCTTTCATTCCAATAAAATTGCTGCTATGTTAGCATTTCCACGGACCTAGCATAACCATTATATAGCTTTTGATTTTTGAATAAAATGCGAAAGTCCTCTGAAAGTAATCAACGGACATTCAAATGAAAGTCCGCCGAAAGTCTAATGGTGGTCGATTTTGAGTCCGGTGAACGTCCCGCGGACGTCTTTTGGAGTTTCATTTGGACGTCGATCAAACGTAATCACGGACGTTCGGCGGACGTTCAAGACAATGCTCCAAACATTCAATGCTAGCTGGGTGATTCTGTTGAGATCTGCGTTTCTTGTGTATTTATTTCTAGGTTTTTTGAGTTTATTTAGTTCTGAACCCGACCAGAAAGGTGAGGACGCAACAAAGGCCCGTGAGGCGTGGATCCAGCAGCAGCTGGAGTTGGCCAAAGGGATCTCTACAAGAATGTAGAGATTGCCTTCTCCGCTGCTGCTGGAAGAACTGGGTCTCGCCTCCGACTTAGACTCATCCAAGAGACAGAGGCCACGGTGGAGGTCCAAAGAGGAGTTTATTGGAGCAGCTTCTCCCAGCCCAATGCTTTGGAGGGGATTGCAGCTGGCGATTTGCCCTCCTGGAGCTGGACCACGCCGCTACTGCCGCCCTGAGCCGCCGGAGGTCCCGGCCCCTGGGCAGAACCCCTGCTGCCTCCAGCTGCTGCCTGTCCCTTGCCAAGGTGGCATGCACCTCAGCTGCCGCCTGTCCCTGAGCAGAAGTGGCGCGCACCTCTACCGCTGCCACCAGTCTCTGCACCGAGGCAGCGTCTCTCCCTGCTGCCACAGGTCCTAGTGCCCGCTGCTGTGGAGCAGCTCCCAGAGTCTGCTGCTTCTCTGACTCCCTGTGCTCCCTCCGAGACTCCCTGTGCTCCCTCCAAGACTCCCTGTGCTCCACCAGAGCCAGCTCTGCCTCCAATGGCCATGCCCACCGAACCCTCCTCTAGGGGTCCACCTGCCCCCGTGGCCAGTCCCCGGACCTCCCACGAGGTGTCCTCCTTCTGCACCGTGGCTGGCCCCCGGACTATCCATGGCAGGTCCTGCTTTCGCCGTGATATTTTTCTTTTTGTTTTGGACTGAGTTTCTTCTGTTTTGTCTCTGGACTCTTGCTCTCCACCCACCCTGATTGGGTTGTTTTTTTTTGTTGTTTTTTCCTGGACTCTAGTTGTTGTCGATGTTATGTTTCTTATAAATCCGCCAGACCTGTAGAAGTTTCATTTTGTGTGTTTTATTTCTTAGACGTTTACGGTAAATAAAAAAAATAAAATAAGAAAAATCTAGTTATTTCCACACAGTGTCCAGAAAGGGGTGGTGTTCTGCTTGTTGCCGAACACAGCTTTGGTCAGCATCCAGCGTTATTCATGTGCTTTATTTAGGACATATTCCGTGCCGTTTTCTAAAGAAGTATTAAAATATTAAAAAGGTAGATTAGCTATAGGGGCAAAATATCCCGACCAAATTTGTAGTCAAACATTATTTGTAGTAATAGTGACGCTAAACGGGACTAATGTCTTGTTTACAGTTTGGCAACGATATTGGAAACAGCAAAAGTCATTTATGTTAATGTTTAACATAGCAGCTTAATTAAATAATAAACGTAAACTTCTGAGAAAAAAAAACACACAAATGAAACTTCTACAGGTATGATGGATTTATAAGAAATCTGCTGAGTAAGCAGTATGTGACGTAACATCGATATGCGCATTACCACAAGGTATGCTGGATTTAGGGGGAAGGCAGAACACTGGTTTTAACGGAGCATGCGTCGTTCAGCAGCGCAGCTGTTGTTCCTCCTACACTTTGGACTGAAACATTGTTCTAACAATATTGGGGGGCGGGGGGATACCTAAAAATTTATTCTTATTTTTTTCTTAGATGAATGGCAGATTTACTTTGTTCATTTCTATTGACATTTTTCTATTGATATTGTTTCAATACAAGGGTTTCTTTCATGATTTCTTTGGGGGGGACAATTCTAGACTTTTCCAAGATTGAGGGGTTCCAGACCCTCCCTAGCCCCCCAGGATTTACGCCTATGCACTAGATTGCTCCCGAGTGGCGGACAAGATGAGCCACCCACCCATTTGGGTGTAGAACCAGGTTAATGCAATAACGATGGTTTTAATGAGGAAGTGTACAGAAATCCAGGCAGCACAGGTGAGCAGAGACAAGGAGCTCAGACTCTGGTAGCAACTGGTAAACAGTACACGAAAGGAAAACAATGACGAGATATGACAGTAAAGACTAGGATACGACAAGGAGCAGGGAACACAGGTGGGATTAAATACCAAGGGGTAATCAGGGACCACGAGACACAGCTGGGAGCAATCAAGGGCAGACTAGACAACACAAGAATTAAATTAACACACAGAAAACTAAATCCTCACAATAAATGTAAACCCCCCAAAATAATAAGATATTACATATAGTATCTTTTATATATATATATATATATATATATATATATATATATATATATATATATATATATATATATATATATATTTCACTTTAATTTTATGTGTGACTCCAAATCCAGGCCTCCATTGGTTAATAAATTTGATTTCCATTGATGATTTTTGTGTGATTTTGTTGTCAGCACATTCAACTTTGTACAGAACAAAGTATTCAATGAGAATATTTCATTCATTCAGATCTAGGATGTGTTATTTGAGTGTTCCCTCAAATAACACAGTGTCCCAGTGTGTGTGTGTGTGTGTGTGTGTATATATATATATATATATATATATATATATATATATATATATATATATATCCCCATAAACACACTCCTAAACCTTGAGGACATCCTTCTCAGAAGAGCCGAAGCTGTTCTAGTTGCAAAGGTGGACCAACGTCATATGGAGCCCTATGGATTAGGAATGGGATGTCACTAGTTGTGCAGGAGCGTGCCATTGGCATGTTGGATGCAGGGATGTCCACCAGTGCAGGTGCACAGCTAAATGTTTATCGGATCATAGGCCGTTTGTGGCAAGAATTAGTTTCCAACAGACTGGCACTACTGCAAATCGACCTCATCCTTGTCGGCCACCTGTGACCACTCCAGTACTAGATCGCTACATCCGGCTCATCCATCTGTGGGATCGGCTAAGACCAGCGACACACACAGCTGATGAGACTATTGGTCTGCACAACAGACACATCACACCTCAGACTGTCTGTAACTGCCTATGAGAAGCCAACTTGCATGCTCAGCAAATTCCTCAACCTGACCCCTATCGTGTTCAAAGGACTGTCAATCCACTACAAATGGCCATACCACGATGTTATCAATGCCAATATGAAGATCAGTAATTACTGAAAATATATTTTGAGTTTCTTTATATATCACGTAACTCAAATGTTCATAAAACTCTTATATTTGATGTGGCTTTTATATTTTTGTTCAGTATATAAATATATATATCAGTGACGTGCGGTGAGGTTCATTGCTGGTGAGGCACTGACTTATGTCTTAGACACCATGTCCAATAACATTGGACCTATGGAAATTTCGCGCATGCATACAACGCTGGGCAGCAAAAAGACTAATCTTTTACATGTCATCCATAGCCACATTAACTCAGTGAAACTTAGAAATGTAGGTATTAATTTCGTGCTATGATCCACAGCAAAGTGATCTGTATTTGTCAAGCTACGCAGACTCGTTGCCATAGCAACCGACAACAATGCCACTTCGTGTTTTAGGATTTAACACCAAAAAAACATTCAAGAATTTTGCACACAGAACAGAATATTCAATATGTTGTAGTATGTTTTAGGCTTAATGTTTTATTAATAAATAATTGCTGTGGTAGATTAGCTACCACTTCTAATTTACTGAATTATTTAGACATACAAACTGTAGCCCACAAAACGCACATTTCATAAACATCTTATTGCTGTCTTACCTTCATGTATCAATGAAATCCATGCACCGCTAATTCTGCACAAAAATATCCGTTCATCCAAAGCCAAGTCTATCCTCGGCATGTTTTTTTCTACTCCGTTTAAGAATCATTAAACTGTCTCAAANAGCAGAGACTCATCTAAAGCAGGACAGAGTCCTGACCTGCAGGGCTGAACACCCCCAGTCTATATTATAATAAATTATTATTTTACATTACAGCGTTTTTTTATCATTCTTTGCAGACTGAAGCATTCTGTGTAACGTCTTCAAAGCCTTAAGGAGTTGAAGGAGTCGGCCTGGGAAACCCCAGGATGCTGCAAGTCGTTCTGACCCGTCTGACAGTCACTGGTTCTGCTGAAGAGATGGACTCACTGGATGAGCTCGGCCTTCCAGCCTCCACTGCAGAGAAATTAGAAGTCCTGAACCAAAAACTGGAATCAGGAGCTGTTCAGAAATAAATGGTATGTATAATTTTTTGAAAACATAATTAGCCTTTCTGTTCACATTATTCTTTCCTTCCATCAGGTGCAGTACTGTTTAAATATTAACTTTTAAATTCTCTGTGTTACTTTTTTAGCTGGATCTCAGAAGGACCTGATCTGCTGTCTGCAACATTTTATCCAAGATCCTTTCAAACCACCAAGCAGAGCAGCAGAGATCTATTCAGACTGGGTGGAGAGAGAAGTCTTTCTGGTCACCAGCTCTTGATGACTGAAATATTTAGTAAGTATAATCTCATCCATCCATTTTCAAGACACCCTTGTCCCTTTGTGGGGTCGGGAGGGTTGCTGGTGCCTCTCCAGCCAACGTTCTGGGCGAGAGGCAGGGTCACCCTGGACAGGTCGCCAGTCTGTTGCAGAATCTCATGTGCCTTTCAGTCTAAAATTATGTGAATTGTTGTATATTATCCTATAGGTGGACTTTGTTATGCATGTTTCTCTGTAGCCAATTAAACGTTTTGTTTCATAAAACCATGAATAATACACGTCTCAGTTTAAAATATATATATTTTGTCTGTTTTTCAGGGGTTGTACCAAAGAACCAAGCGTCTGATTCAGAACACCAAAAGTTTTAAGGCTCAAGGTTGTCTGGTTTGTTTTTTTGTTATTATTTTGTGCATGTTTCCTGTCTTTTTGGTACATATGTATACATAAATGTGATTATCATATTTTGTTGTGGGTAGTCTTTAATGTTAATACTATAAAATTAATAAATTCTTTGCCAAGTGTTTTTAAGTGGGTGCAATCGATTTTACAATTTATTACATTAGATTAATATGTCTTGGAAACAGAAGACAACCGTTCCATGTGAAAACAGTAAGTGTGGGGCCAGCTTTCCTTTTCTACAATGGATTAATATCCCATGGTAATGGAAGACGACTGTTCCTCATGAAAACCTTTCATTCCAATAAAATTGCTGCTATGTTAGCATTTCCACGGACCTAGCATAACCATTATATAGCTTTTGATTTTTGAATTAAATGCGAAAGTCCGCTGAAAGTCTAATGGTGGTCGATTTTGAGTCCGGTGAACGTCCCGCGGACGTCTTTTGGAGTTTCATTTGGACGTCGATCAAACGTAATCACCGGACGTTCAAGACAACATTTAGCGGACGTGCTCCAAACATTCAATGCTAACTGGGTTCAGTGCAGCGCCCTGGGCGAAAACCTCATACCTTTTAAGTTTTCTTTTGTGACAAACACATTTTTCTTAATGGTGTAAATCTTTGTATGTGCTTCACTTCTTTGAAGCTCTTCATCTTACTGCTTATTTACTTATTACTTTAGTCAGTGGCGCATCTACATCTTATTCAGGTGGATGCGAAAACATCCGTAACGGTGAATAGAAAACATACAGTCGCTCTACCCCGCACAGAACAGTTAATGTTTTGACACAAAATCAAACATTGCTTCTAGAGCAACATGTAACTCAAAGGTTTTAGACCTGTTATTCCAACCCAGAAATGGAATTGACCAGATGATATTAGAATACTGCGACAGACTGACGACCTGTCCAGGGTGAACCCTGCCTCTCGCCCAGAATGTTAGCTGGAGATAGGCACCAGCACCCCTCGCGACCCCACTAAGGTACAAAGGTGTAAAAAAAATGGATGGATGGATGGATGGATGGATGGAATTGATGGTTTAAAAGTAGAGTACAACTCTACTTCAAACGATTGACACCAAAAGAGAGCCAAGACACCCATGATGACTGCAGAGAAGCTCCAGAGAAACTCAGATCAGATGGGAGGATCAGAAACACAGTAAACGTGTTAACACTATGTGAGGCAGAAATAAATAAAAAACACCTGTGGCAGCATCATGCTATACAGAGGAGATGGTCATGATGATCATGTCAGAGGCTACTAAAGACTGGGGTAGAGGTTCCTCTTCTAGTATTCTAGCAATAGCAAGATTCAAAAACTGATGCTTTCCATCCAATCTGAGATTTAGCTATTTAGCAAGGAAGAATGTCCATCTTTTTTTATAATATCAGCAGCAGAAATCTTAACACCAGAACAGGGGCATTTTTGGCTGACAAGTTCAAAATTAAAAGGATATTAAAAGGTTTTCTATGTGGTGCATGGGAAGAAAAACCAAAGAATATAGCAGGTACGTTTTGATAATTATCTTAACATTTTAGAGAAGTTATTTGTACAAAGGTCTGAGCTGAGATTGTTCCAGTTTTCGAAGAAAAATGGAAAAATCTGAAGAAAAACTTCTCAAATCCAGATGTGTAACAGAGTTACCAAGTAACCTCATTATTTATTGTAAATCGTCACCTTCCTAAAATAATGCCCTAAGTCACATTTTGTCAAAAGTGATCTAAGAAAAAAAAGAAAATCACCAACTCTTATTTGCCAAAAGACAATTTAGGTAAAACCAAACAAAAAAAAGACGTAGGTCATTATCATAGAGAGGTGACAAAATGACAAAAATATGAAACACTTCAGTCAGTATGCTGATTCAGTTTATTTGATTGACAACAAATATACTCCAGAGAGTACATGTTTCAAACATATCATTCAGTATCCATCAACTGAACAGATTCGTCAACAACATCCAGAGAAAGTGGAGTCTCAGTTTTGGTCAGGACGGCCGTGGTGCCAGGCTTATAGCGGTACTGTCCCTCTCTGGTGGAAAGAGTGAAACAGAACAAGGCAAAAGAGTCAGTTTTCATCTGTGAATGAAAAAATATTTGCTTTCCAATTTATCTGAGTGCAGCTGTTTCATGGAGCTTTGCTTGTCAAATTCTTGTGCTCTCTACTGAGAGTGTGGTTAGTGAAAGGGTCTTCAACTCCAGTCCAGGAGGCCCAGTGTCCTGTAGATTTTAGATGTGTCTCTGCTTCAACACACCTGAGTCAAATAATCAGGTCATCATCAGGACTCTGGAGAACCTGACTGCATACTGAGGAGGTAATTCAGGAGTGTTGGACCAGGGATACATCTAAAAGTTGTAGGACACCAGACCTTACAGACCCATAGGTTCTCTGCATTAAAAGATTCCTTAGTACACTCACCTTTGACCCTTTGCTGTGGGCTTGTCATAACCTCTCAGAAATTGCACTCCAGCTTCAGTTATGACACACAGGTCCACATTGCTGCCTGAGCCCAGGTCACAGAAGATTCCTGCAGCAATGGCATCCCTCACAAGTTGCTTGGCTTCCTCCAGCTTTAGAGCAAGCAAGAAAAGAAGAAGAATATTTTCATGATTGCTGCTATTAATAAGAGGAAAGGGAAGTGTCCTTTGTGCTAGTGTTATGGCATAGTACTGCAGGAGCATAGTAGTGATACTTCCTCCACATCTAAGAAACAGTAGATAAAGCTAACATCTGTTCAAGCTCTAATTATTGATTGTTTGCAGTCACAAGAGATTAAAGTGCATCAGAAAAGTATTCATACTATTTGTACTTTGATTTCTGTGGTTGCAATGAGATGAAATGTAGTAATGTATTTTATTAAGTCCTTATGTTATAGATAAACTTAAATTAGTGTACAGCTGTGAAGACTGTATCATTGTCCTCTATGCAAACTGCTCAGACATCTACAAATAAAATCCCACACAGCTGTTCTGTTTCTGGTCACAGGGGGGATTTTTTTTTGTTTTAGAAAACATTAGAGATCAAAAAGCATAACAAAAACATCTCAGAGTTCTGCTCTGAAAACTTAGAGCATATGGTATGACTAAAAAAGACTACAAAAAAGTCCATGTAAACTGACCAATGCTCGGACAATGGTCAGAGAGGCAGTCAAAGGGACCATGGGAACTGAGGGAGCTGCACTGATTCATTGCTGAAGTCAGAACATCTGTAGAGTGCCCAACTTTTTACTTCACTAAATACGTCTAAGAAGGTTCTCTGGTCAGACCAAACCTGTCTGGCCTGGTTGCAAGACCTTTCATATCTAGTGGTGTGTATTTGAATGTTTTAACCAATGGCGTCCTTTCCATCAACTTGCGCTGATCTCTCAGCTCGTATCATGCTGGAGTCCTGTGAGTGCTTCCAGGAAATGTCCACAGCTGGGATATTTCAAAACTGACTACATGACAGCTTGCAGCTTTTGAAAGTTATTTCCTTATCTTTCCACATCTGAACTCCCTCCTGATTTTTCAGATCAGGGTGACCTGCTGTGAAACACAAAAACAAGCTTTCAGGTCAGTGACCTGGAACAGTAGTTTCACCCACTTCCTGGCTAAAACTGCACAACTAAAATAATTACTCCCCTACAGCCTTCATGCAAAATATCACATGTAGTATAAAAAGTAAGGATATCTTACTCTCCCCACAATGACACAGCAGGTGCAGTGAAACAGGTTATTGTAGATGGTGCTAGATAAAGGGGAATCCTGGAGGGAATTGTGTAGGAGGCTGTAAAAGACTTGAGACTGGGGTGAAGGCTCACCTCCCAGGAGGGAAATTTTAGAGTCAGGCACATTCATGTATTGGAATGACCCAAAGTCCAGAACTATATCCAACAGAAAATATGCAGCAAGATTTGAAAACAGGTTTCCATCCAATCTGACTAAGCTCAAGCTTCTTAGCAAATAACAACGGGCATCTAGATGTGCAGAGCAGGTGGAGACAAACCCCAGAAGACCTGCAGGTTTAATTTCAGCTAACTGCCATTCTACAAAGTATTCATCCAAGGGGACCAAATACAAATAAACTTTTTAAAAAATAATAATTATTGTTTTCCTTCTATGTTACAGCTTTGGTATACATCTGTTGTTGGTCTGTAGCATAAAATCCACAGTTCATAGTTGTAACTTCACAACATTTGGAAAAGTTCAATGGGTGTGAATAGTTCTCTAAAGACCTGCAAATGGTTCTACACAGCTGACCTGCTGAATGATCAGTGATAGTCATTTGACAGTCCAACCTATCACCATCTGCTCAGAAAACAACTCTACAACTTCCTACATACATGCTTCCTGATCCAGTTTACCAGTGGCACTGTTCCCTTGGTTACCTTAATGATGTATGAAAAGTTAGATCATGACTGTTTTGACAATGTAACAGATTGTCAATCATACCTCCATGTTGGGTTTGAATCTGTCCTCAAACACTGAAACAGCAGCAGCAGCTCCAGAGCCTACAGCCATAATCAACAGAACACAAGACAAGAATATGACATTTTCATAACATTTTACTGTTCCGCTAACAAAGTAATTAATTATAAATATCTCTATTGTCATCTTGAGCTTAAATAAGTTTTGTATCAAATCACTCAACAATAACCCCATGTTTACTTATTATTACCAATGTGGCTACTTTAGTGTCTAATTTGTGTTTTTAATGTTGTAAAGTGTCCTTAGGTGTTTTGAAAGGCACTGTCAAATAAAATGCATTATTATTATAAAAAAATGCTTGCTACTCATTGCAAAATATGTACTTTCTTTTGAAGTTTAATTTTTATATTTTGGCTATGAAATGACATTTGATCAGCAGCTTCACCAATAAATGCATTTTAGTAATTCTGCCCTTTAAAAGAAACACAGATCAATAAACACTTGTACCTTGTTCATTGCCAAACAACCTTGTCTATGGTCTGCATTGGCTGGTAAAAAAGAAAGAAAGCTATAGAGTCAGAACCCCACATCGATGCACAAAACGTAATGCCACTGGGGCCTGGGTGGTGTAGGTGCATTCTCTCCCCTCTCTCAGTATCGGTTTCAAG